CATCGTCGGCCCGCTATCCATGGTCGCTTTTTATTTCACTGATAACCGCAAGGAGAAAATGTAAGAAATGCGTTGACATTCGGGTCTGTTAACAGAGGTAAACGAAAATAAGAAAAAGAAAAAAAAACATAAATCCTCCTAAATTCATTCACATTTGACTGATTCCCTGTATGTGGCAGTTAACTAATCGCATATTTCTTTGAAATAAACATAACAAAGACTTCCATATGTTACAAAGGGTTTACGAAATCAAAAATATGGATTTTTCATATTCCTGAAAAATGACCTGGAAAGATTAATCCCACTGAAATGGGTAATCGGTTACCCACAGACAGTTCCTATGTCTACAGACAACTATTGTAGACCTTGTAAAGCAACTGAGGGACTATGCCAGGAAGTGTACAGATACCAGAATCGACTTTGATCATTTCAGATTCATGTTAGACTCGGATTGTACGAACTTAACTGGCCTAACGAAGCAATGCTTTTCTGTGCTATGCGATTCTGTAAAATGTTATGTACGAAACTTCACAGCTCCATTACTTAAAATGAAATTCAGAATGTCAAACAAAATAATGTCAACTTTGTTTAACTTGTCGAAGTCTTTACGAAGTGCGATACCAAGTTCCTGCCAATTTAGGAGTGAGTGCAGCATATTACGCGGGAAAATGTCATACAGAATCACGTGTGTCCGTTACCACAGACCTTATTTGGTGATATGGTAGTCAGGTTATCCTCGTCTTGGATGGTACGCATGTATATTTATTTATATGATCAATGAAGTAATAGCAACAGTACGGACAAGCTAATTGTCAAATTTTCGAGGCAACCTGTCCCTTTATCAAGACACAAATAGTACATAAATAACATCACATACATGGAACATAAACAAATACAAAGTTTTAAATTTTAAATTTAGGTGCCTCGACAATCCCTTCGGCCGATGGACACCGAAGGCCCTTTATAGCGGACAAAGAAAAAACTATCCCAATATGTATGTAGGACGGCGATTAATATATATATAGAAAAGAGGGAATCTCCATTTCCAGCGAATACAAGATTGTATGCACACCGGCGGCCGTTGATTAAACCATTGGTTGTTGTCACCACAAGTGGCTACTTTATAACAATTGTTGGCTCATACCTAACAGATGAAAAGAACAACGATGCTTCTATTCTGAACCATATGTTAAATCAAATGTTTAAGACATCCAGAACTGGGTTCACGAGGACGACATTTTTATTGTTGACCGAAGTTTCAGAGATTCTGTTCCCTTATGGATCTTGGAATAAAAGCCGAAATACCGTCGTTTCTGCACAAGGGAGAAAAGCAATTCGATAGAGATGTTGCTAACACAGACAGACATGTTACCAAGGTATGTAGTGACATATATTTGGTAGCGTCACACCAATACTTCTATTATATAGTCAAATTTTAAGGCGGAGTTGTAGCCCTTACTAAATGTTAAAGATGATTAATTTTTAACGATTAACCTCAATGAAAGATATATGCAGGCAATTGCTTTATTAACCCCCAACCCCCCAAACACACACCAGGAACAGGAGGAGAGTATAGTTTTATGTTTCAGCTATCTTGTGCAGGCCTTACCTTATACATTTCTAATCACGAGATGTTAAATCTTGGGAGATGTGTTCACCTTGGTGAGAGGTCATGTATCAAAAGTAGGTCACTATAACCTACATCTTAACCTATTACACGTTTTCACATCCGGTGAGGACTGTGATTCGGCGAATTGTGTTGTTTGAACAATAAAATACACATCTTGTGCCACTACATACTCTTAACAACAATACAACACAGCGTGATATAAATGTTCATTGTTTTTCATTTAAAATATGATTTGTTTTATCTAGGTCCGTTGGGTCATGGAATCAGATAACGCTCCCATAAAACGCTTGATATATCTTAACCATGTTTTGCGAACAAGTACCACACATTAGCGACTTTGTCGGGATTGTGTGTGCCATCTCGAACAGGTTCTCGTCAGCTTTAAACTCAACAAATAATGCCGAGGAGGACATATGTATGGGATCCAAGATGTTATATTTTTCAAAGCAGTGAATCAATTGAAAGAATATGTCGAGGACAACAAGTTGTACAAGAGTCCTGCAAAATGGCAAACGACAACGGAAAATACTGCGTCACGACGAGGAACTTAACATGCGGTACATATCACTTGAAATTGAGTACGAGTTTTATACAAGAACACATAGATGGTGATAGTGAAATTCTCCTCCACGAAGATGAGGGCAATCTTCTCCGTGTGAAGATCTTAAGTCGGCAAGTTGCAGCCAAGACACGTCTTCTTTGGATTCGTTACAAAATATCCAATATTGAGGCACGGTATTGTAAATGTCCCAAGTAGTTGGCGTATGTGCACATATTGCGGCAATACTGTGATACCTTGGATATACCAAACAGCGTGAAAACCAAACCTATGGAGTCAGAGATTGGGCAATCAGATTTTCTGTTGCAAAAAACCAATTACTTTTTTTTCGTTTGTGAATTTTCGAGTACCCTTTAAATCCGGACTTTACTGAGTACAAGCTTAATTTTAATGGATTTAAATGCTGATTAAAAGGGAAATTGAAAAGAAAATAGCACAGACTGAAAAGTAGCAGTAAATGCCGTTTCTGAAATACTTTTTTTCAATACTTTCACGATACCTGGTTCAACGTTGGTACACACAAACAGATATAGTATATATACCCGTTGCTTTGTGATATAAAAGTTACAAATACGTAGTCTTTATTGCAACACTAACACCCATGTGCTTTTTTTCTTTTCTTTTTTCTTTATTTAATTTTTTAAACTTAAAAATAATGTTTCTGAACTGTCGATAGCGGTATTTTGTTGATGCCAATATGTAAGTATTTGTTAAGCTTTGACGTATGACGATCACAGATTTTGATGTGGGAGTGCTGGCTTTTTCTTTAGATACCCCACCCCTGGTTGACGAAAGCAGATCATCAGTATTTCTTAATGTACATGTCAGTCCCGCTGTTCACTTTTACGTCATAATGTAGATAAGTTAAATGTGGTTTTCTGTCATAACATGAATATAACACAAGGATTGAACGAGTTTTCCCGCAACATTACTGATAAATCACTCCTGTCCTTGTAACTGCTATTAAAATATACAAATATACTGTCTATATATCATCTGCATGTGTAACCTGTACCTTCTATTGTACTGGATATATGCTGTAACTGAGAAGTCGAAAAACTTTCAACGTTGTTTTCAAAATTGTAGACACAGTAATGGACGCCCTACTATTTGATGTACATAAAACTTTAAGTTTTACCTGCATTTCCGGTTTGCATAAACTTAAAAAATGCAGCCATTCATTTGACACGATTATGTAAATTATAACCTTTCCCACCAATAAGGTTTTGCTAGATATATTTTTCAAACTTTAGCCGTCACAACAGACGAAACGTTCCGCATACAGTGGGTTCGTTTCTACGAATAAGAATCATATTCAAAACGAGAATACTACAATGGCACGTGAAGAAATATCCCATGATTTTAGAATTTGGTATACTTTTTTAGTATTTCTTTGATAAGGTGACAATATCTACAGTGTATCTATGTATTTCATCAAACGTTACACCATGCTGGATCTATAGTGTTTCCCTTTTATTTATTACAGCATTTTTTGTGTTTTTGGTAAATAATTGGTTTTCATTCAGAACCCTGATTTATCGACAACTTCCCCGTTTGGCACACGCTCCATGAACTCTAAACAACCTGATTGTCTATTGACCATTTTATGTCGAGGGACCAGGCATACAGAAACGGAAATGACGTCAGTAATGATATTTCGATGTTCTGAGAATGGAAACGCAGAGATATATTAGCTGTCCCTGATTTGCTGTGATTATCATTGTAGAGTCAGCTGAAATGACACGAAACTTTTTTCTTATAATTTGGAAGTCGTCAAATGTAGGAAACAAACTGATCAAATAAACATGAATGAAGTGTAGAACTATATATCTTATAATAACGTATACGCACGAGCTTGGTAACAACACTATCCTTTGATTTTGAAACAATAATTTGATGTCTTAAATATTGTCTAAATTGTACAACAGTCGGGTAGGAAATGAATCAATGATACATAGGTAAATAGAAAAGAGACGTCGCTGGCCGCGAAACGATTGTTATTAACAGATGTTGTTTCCTGACTGCTTTTCAGGAAAAATCCATTACGAATGATAGGATAGGAGCTTGTGTAAATAGAACATAAAGGATTAAAAGTGCTGATCGAGACGAAATGGATTTTATCAGTTCATTAAATACGTGTTGCACGTGATCAAAGAAAACACGCTGTCGTTTTAACCAATAAGATATTAATTGGTGTCAATATTGCGAGCCTCCATTTGTTGGTTAATGCACAAAAATATAATGCGTGACTAAAACCAATTAAAGCACAGAAGATATAAATCCAATGTGTAACATAGTGTTTTTATACTCGACGTCATGAAATACCCGGCTAGAAACATGGCGGTGAGAGGTGTTGTAAGGCACCTACACTGTAGTCATGGAAACGTGAGAGCAAATAATGGTTTCTAGAGATTGGTTGCACAAGATAACAGAGATACACATATTCAGTAAATATAACGTCAGCATTTAATTGATCGTACTAAAAATGATACTTTAATGCATTAACAATCATCAGCTGTGCTCAGACTAAACAGAAATAAAGTCATGCGTACGTTTTGCATCTTAGTAATGTCATGTGAGAAAAATAAAATTATATGAAACAGGGAAAAGATAATTATTTGTTAGTATAAAAGCGAAATAAGGAGCGGGGGATATAGCAAGGTAAGGAAAAGAGAAAAGGACTTCCAACTTCATTCCAGTTTTGTTTTGTTGTTGTTGTTTTTTTAAATTTGTAATGAAATGTGACGCAAAATGATATATAATACTATTTACCGTACCGAGTATTTCACCATTAAAACCACTGTTACTTACCTTTCCATTGCATTACCATTTTTGTCGATTTTTTTAAAACAAAAACAAAACCGACATTTTTGGAATATTCAGCTGAAAAAAATAACACTGTTTCTTTCTTTCAATATTATTGCGTATGTGTATTTCACGTTAACTGTACAGAATACATTTTTAAGTTGATAAAGAATATATGTTTTTGTCAACTGAGAAATCGCGTGACGTTTCCTTGATTATATCTGAAACCAACTCTATAATAAAGTCTTTAATTTAATTAAGCTTTGTGTTGTTTTACGTCATAAAAACAGCTAGGACCATTTAAGGATTGGTTGGTGGAGGGAAACCAGAATTCCACCCACAAGCGGCCAGTACTTGGCGATTGCCTCATTCTGACCTCGAACCTGCGATACAGAGGTGGAGGGCCAGTGATAAAATTGGTCAGATTCCTTAACCACTCGGCTACCATTATTGGATCCATTTCATTACACAGACCGAGTCGTTTTTAACGAAGATAGTTGTATTTTGGGATTTTGGATTACTAGTGTTATTGTACTGCCACATCCAATCCTAGACAGCTCTATGACATATGTAAAACTGAATAATTATAAACGATGTGTTACACAGCGGTCTTAAACTGCTCTTTCTAGCAATCCAACTGGATTTGTATCGGATTCAACCTTTGCAGAATCTTGCATCAATCGATCTCAATCCTGGTGACGTCACATTATTTGATGACACATTTCATCTATGACGTCACATTATCTGTGGATTTTAGGACGTAATATTAAGAGCAGGTGTTGAAGTGACTCCAGAATCGTCTGTACCGTTGCATACTGTTGTCCCGGTTGTTTGGAATATGACGATGGAATATGTCAGGATGGTTCCAAATAGCTGCCAAAAATCAAACATAAACCGTTATTGTCTGCTGAATGTATTGTCAAACATGAGTGAACAAAAGACACAGAAATAGTACAGATTTAGAATCAGGTAAAGGTTACCCAAATAAAGTATTATACTGAATTATATAGTTGTTCAAGATTGTATATCACTATTTGAAATTTATAAATTTTTTTTTTTGAAAGTATATATACTTATGAATGCTGGTGCATGATTCTCAAATATAATGTCTAGGTTGCGTTTTTAAAAATGCAGTTTAGACAACGGTGAACAACAATAAAGAAGAATAATTTCATAGATGAAATTAACCATTAGACGTACCATTAGTAAACTCGAACCATCCACCGTGAACATTTCATACACGTTTATTCCAATTGGCGGTCCGTTCACTCTCGAGATAAAAATCTGAAGCTGAGCAAATGTATATACATCAAAAAGACATTGAATCTCTCATAATGGAAACTTGTATTTTTTTAAAATCTACATACATCACTTGCAAATAGATTGAAAACTTTATATGGATAAGTTATTGAAGTAGATATGATTTCAGCGTAGCAAAAAGTATTGACTTTCAACACAACATGGAGACGCATATTTAATAGGTTTTGAACTATAAGTTTCATTCTGTGTATAGATACAAAAAGTTTTAGTTCAACTGAATCATTTTGCAGAAGCTACTTTTGTTTGATTAAACCCTACAGGCGTTTCTAACTGCATGTGCATTTGAGATAACAAAGCGCTGGTGACTCTCTATGGAATATTGACTTTGCTTTCATATCCTTTGCTTAACCAAATGAAAGAAAGACCAGAGTAAAACTATGGCACCAAATACAATATTTGTGATTTATATATTTCTCCTGGGATTTTCATTATATATTTGAAAGCTTGTAATAGTTTTTATGAAATAAAATACAATACTGGTAATAACTCCTCTGGACTTTCAACTATTAATGCGTCAGTTGCAGATTAGCAAGCACAGATGTAGTGTCAAGCCTTGGTGTCCCGAAAATGACATTTCAGTGTGATGGCACTTTAACATGGTCGTTAAGTGATTATCTCTTGATTCATCCTCATATGACATTAGATGTTGTAAATGTTGAGAACCAGAAAACTAAATTTTCAAGAGTTCATGGATATATTTATCCCATTTTAAATGTCATTTCATGCATGTGAAAAATGGCCCAACGTAACCGGAAGAAGAATCACACATTAAAGATAGAAGAATTTAACCTTTATCATACCTACACTTTTCATTAGTATGTGCATATATACCTGTCTTCATATGACATTGGTATTTGTACGTAATTCAAGATTTAACACCTTTTTACCTGTCGCACTGTTTTCTCAGATAATCCTTTCAGATCAAATTGGAACAGCACATCCTTTACTTCGTGAGCCTGCAAAATGTAATAATGTTAATTAGATCTTTTGATCAACAGGCAACAAAAACATTGGTGCACATAGTTTCCTTTGGATATTCAAATTAATACCTTTATAACACAAATTTAGAACCTAACGATCAAACCGAAAACCAAAATGAATGTCGAAATCACATGATATTTCAGTAAGATTGTACTTCACAAAGGTTGTTGAATGATCAGACAACGTGCTGGTGCCAAGACAACAATGTTGGGTCGGGGGAAATCCCGTGATATAAATTGGTTAACAAGAACAATAATTGTCTTTTTCTACACTGTTAAGGTGATGAACTTTGTGTTACAGGTTTTATTGACACCCTTTCTGAGGCCCCATCATCATATTTTTAGTTTCAGCAATAACGTTACCCATACGCAACCTTTCTGTGTTTCTATTGCACTCGATCATTTGATGTTGGAACCCTTGTGGAATAGGAGTGACTTTTGTGTTTGATAGTTCTACGTGATAAATGTGATAATTAATATCTTAATACTGCATTACTCAGAATTGTACACTTTTCTTTTTTCCCTGTCAGTTTTATTTTTTCTCGTTTTACTCATATGACCCTAGCCGTTGGTATCTCCCTCGATACTATCTTCATATGACCCTGGCTGTTGATGTCTTTCTAGACATCCATTCTCGAATGGTCCCCCACGACACCCATCTTCATTTGACCTAGGCTGTTAGGGTCTCCTATTACATTTGTTTCATATGACTATAATTGTAGGCATCCCTAAGACACACTTTTGCATATGACCTTGGCTATTGATGTCACCCTAGACATCCCTTCTCGTATTACTTTAGATCTTGGTGTCTCCCTACACATCCGTTCCCGTATGACTAGATCTCGGCGTCTCCCTAAACATCCGTTCCCGTATGACTCTAGATCTTGGTGTCTCCCTACACATCCGTTCCCGTATGACTCTAGATCTCGGCGTCTCCCTATACATCCGTTCCCGTATGACTCTAGACCTTGGTGTCTCCCTACACACCCGTTCCCGTATGACTCTAGATCTTGGTGTCTCCCTACACATCCGTTCCCGTATGATTCTGGATCTTGGTGTCTCACTATACATCCGCTCTCGTATGACTCTAGATCTCGGCGTCTCCCTATATATCCGTTCCCGTATGACTCTAGATCTTGGTGTCTCCTTACACATCCGTTCGCGTATGACTCTAGATCTTAGTGTCTCCCTACACATCCGTTCCCGTATGACTCTAGATCTTGGTGTCTCACTATACATCCGTTCTCGTATGATTCTGGATCTCGGCTTCTCCCCACACACCCGTTCCCGTATGACTCTAGATCTTGGTGTCTCCCTACACATCCGTTCCCGTATGATTCTGGATCTTGGTGTCTCACTATACATCCGCTCTCGTATGACTCTAGATCTTGGTGTCTCCCTACACATCCGTTCCCGTATTACTCTAGATCTTAGTGTCTCCCTACACATCCGTTCTCTTATGACTTTAGATCTTTGTGTCTCCCTACACATCCGTTCCCGTATTACTCTAGATCTTGGTGTCTCACTATACATCCGTTCTCGTATGATTCTGGATCTCGGCTTCTCCCTACACATCCGTTCCCGTATTACTCTAGATCTTGGTGTCTCCCTACACATCCGTTCCCGTATGACTCTAGATCTCGGCGTCTGACTACACATCCGTTCCCGTATTACTCTAGATCTCGGCGTCTCCCCACACATCCGTTCCCATATTACTCTAGATCTTGGTGTCTCCCTACACATCCGTTCCCGTATTACTCTAGATCTTAGTGTCTCCCTACACATCCGTTCTCGTATGACTCTAGATCTTAGTGTCTCCCTACACATCCGTTCCCGTATTACTCTAGATCTTGGTGTCTCACTATACATCCGTTCTCGTATGATTCTGGATCTCGGCTTCTCCCTACACATCCGTTCCCGTATTACTCTAGATCTTGGTGTCTCCCTACACATCCGTTCCCGTATGACTCTAGATCTCGGCGTCTGACTACACATCCGTTCCCGTATTACTCTAGATCTCGGCGTCTCCCCACACATCCGTTCCCATATTACTCTAGATCTTGGTGTCTCCCTACACATCCGTTCCCGTATTACTCTAGATCTTAGTGTCTCCCTACACATCCGTTCTCGTATGACTCTAGATCTTAGTGTCTCCCTACACATCCGTTCCCGTATTACTCTAGATCTTGGTGTCTCACTATACATCCGTTCTCGTATGATTCTGGATCTCGGCTTCTCCCTACACATCCGTTCCCGTATTACTCTAGATCTTGGTGTCTCCCTACACATCCGTTCCCGTATGACTCTAGATCTCGGCGTCTGACTACACATCCGTTCCCGTATGACTCTAGATCTTAGTGTCTCCCTACACATCCGTTCCCGTATTACTCTAGATCTTGGTGTCTCACTATACATCCGTTCTCGTATGATTCTGGATCTCGGCTTCTCCCTACACATCCGTTCCCGTATTACTCTAGATCTTGGTGTCTCCCTACACATCCGTTCCCGTATGACTCTAGATCTCGGCGTCTGACTACACATCCGTTCCCGTATGACTCTAGATCTTGGTGTCTCCCTATACATCCGTTCTCGTAAGATTCTGGATCTTGGTGTCTCACTATACATCCGTTCTCGAATGACTCTAGATCTCTGCGTCTCCCTACACATCCGTTCCCGTATGACTCTAGATCTTGGTGTCTCCCTACACATCCGTTCCCGTATGACT